ACTCACAGAGATCTGCCTGCCCCTGCCTCTCTAGTGTAGGGATTAAAGGCCTGAGCCACCACTCCTGGCATGACTAGGTATTGCTAACTGTCATCAGTCAACAAATGTCTCCTAGCTTTTGGCATTTTTCCTTAAAAGAAAGTTTCCTTGCTCCTGTCCTTAAGTAAGCAAAAGCCACTGTCAGAACTGAGCCTAGGAAAGGCCACTCTGGCCAGATGGGAGGTGGAGGGAGAAGAGACTACGTTTGAAAAAGCTGCTTCCCCAACCGCAGGCTAGAAGTGAAGGCACGGCCCTGGGAGCTGGTGTAGTGAGCAGATCCAGGCGAGGGCTAGATGGCTTATGGTATATATGTGGGACCCACCTGCCTCCGGCAGCTCTTGAGGGTAATTCCTGTTTTGGTGCTGATGTCATCCAGGTCTTTCTTGGTACCCTTGGACAGCTTCTTGCCCAAGACCTCCCGAACAAAGGCCTCATCAAAGGTGTAGTACCTTGTGGAGGAATAGGACATTACTGGTCATCCATTAAGTAAGGGGAGAAGAGCCTGGGGTATGTCCCATCCTCACTGAGCCTCAGTTTCAGCCCGAAAAATGGGTATAAATCAAACTGACTGACACTCCCGCCATCCCGCAGGTGAGCACCTCTCGATGAGAAGCGCCTGTCTGGAGGGAGGGATCTGGAAGATGAGCTGGTGCAGCAGCTTCGGCGGCGCGTGCAGCAGACGCTCGAGCATGTGAAAGGTGCGGTAGTGGTCCATGGTGTCGCTCTGCAGCACTCCTGCAGTGGCGCCTGTCTGCTCCAGTATTCCGGAGCGTACTCGCAGAGCCACCGCATCGTTCACTAGGGAGAGGGCACTACCATAAGGTCCCATCCTGCTGAACCTAGATGCACTCGAAGGGTTCCCAGCTCCAATCCTCCATCCCTGACACCCAGAGGTCGGTCCACTTCCCTAAGTGAAGCCTAAATAAGTCCAGGCCACGCCTTCTCTCTCACCCAAAACTACTGCCTTCCTGGAGGACGCCACACAGACCTGAGTAACCATCCAGCCAGAGGCGATACACGTCTTCATCTATAAGGGTCGTGTTGCCCACGAAAATGTCCAGTTCACTGGTCATGGCGATGCCTGGGCCGGGTTCGCCCAGGGCTGGAGCTACCACAGCCCCGGGCCGGGCAAGCCGCCGCAGAGCCACTTCCGGGAGTTCGGAGATTTCGCTCCGGGCTGCCCGGAGCCAGCGAAGGACCACTTCCGGGACGGAGTTGTAGGCAGGAGCAGCGCTGCTCTCATTTCTCAGTCCGTCAGAGATTGTCTGGAAGACCTCCGGATGGATACTCGTCTCATCTCCCATTCTCCCCTGCTTGCAGATTCTCCCATATCCGCCTGCTTTCTCTCCCTTTTTCTCAGCTCTCTCCAAACCTCCCAATTTTGACCTAAATTAGAATGTTTTCGAGTTTTTTTAAAAAAAAGATTTTATTTATTTATTAATATGTATACAATGTTCTGTCTGCACGCCAGAAGAGGGCACCAGATCTCATTACAGATGGTTGTGAGCCACCATATGGGTGCTGAGAATTGAACTAAGGACCTCTGGAGGAGCAGCCAGTGCTCTTAACCTCTGAGCCATCTCTCCAGCCCCCTGTTTTCGAGTCTTTATCCTGTCTCTCTGTGTGTGGCTGTACTTTCATAGCCCATCAAACAGATGAACATCTTTCTTGTTCCTGCCGTGTATTTTAGTTTTATTATTTTGGACTAGTGGGGGGGGGGAGCCTATGTGCATGAGCGTACAGGTGCCCTCGGAGACCAGATGTATCCGATCCTGTGGAGCTGCAATTACAAACAACTGTGAGTCGCCAATGTAGGTGCTGGGAACTGAACTCAGTTCCTCTGCAAGAGCAATATTTGCTTACAACCACTGAGCCATCTTTCCAGCTCCCACTCTGGTTTTTCACCGCATACTACACCCCACACAAGCTGTGACTTCTCAAAGTCTTTGAGGCACCTGCAGGGCCATCTATCTGCTAAGACAGTCCACTGTTGTCTGTCTTCTCAGAAAGCAGCAAAAGCTAAACACAGGAGCCTCCAAGCCTGACGGCTTAAGTTCCATCTCCAGGACCCATACTGGGTAAGGAAAGAATCCAACTCCAGCAAATTGTCCTCTGACTGCCACACATACACTGTTGTAATACACATAATATAGTTTTCTTTTTTGTTGTTGTTTTGTTTTTCAAGACAGGGTTTCTCTGTGGCTTTGGATGCTGTCCTGGTACTACTAGCTCTTGTAGACCAGGCTGGTCTTGAACTCACAGAGATCCACCTACTTTTGCCTCACGAGTGCTGGGATTTAAGGTGTGCACCACCAATGCCCGGCTGTAGTTTACTTTAATTACTAAAAAAAAAAATTAACCTTTAATCCCAGCTCTTGGGAGGCAGAGGCAGGTGGATCTCTGAGTTGGAGGCCAGACTGGTCTACAGAATGAGTTCCAGGACAGCCAGGGCTGCTACACAGGGAAACCCTGTATTGAAAAAAATATTAAATTAAAAAGCTCTACACAGGCCAGTTTAGCTCAGCCCTAGAAGCTTGGAGCGTAGAAGACAAGATGCCCTGGATGTCATGGTTAACAAAGTCAGTCTCCCACTCCACCTCTGCCAAGGCACAGCATATTCTAGAGTCTCCAGAGAGATCTCTCACCCCAATCAGCATCCACCCAGATCTGTACTAGAAACCTGGGCTACCTTCCGAATTCCTGTCTTCAAGCATTCAAAGGTGTTTGTGTGCCTGCTGGGTGCCTCTAGTATTGACATCCTCCCTGCCCACTGACTCCCTACCACCCTGCAGCCAGAGTATCCCACACAGCACAGTTGAAGGCTTCTTTTCAGGGTGGGAGGGACAAAATCTCCTACGGCTCAGACCGGTCTTGAACTTGCTATTGGGAGAGTGACCTTGAATTCCTGATGCTCCTGCCTCCCCCTTCCTGGTGCTGTGTCTACTGGCATATACCAACACAACCGACTTCCTTTAACATTCTTTTAAAAACGTGTCTTTTCCTAGGTGTAATTCCTACACAGAGGCTAGAGAATCTCTGTGAATTGGAGGCCAACCTGGTCTACACAGACACTTTCCGTATTGAGACTCTGTGTCAAACAAAACAATGAGCCATCTCTCTAGCCCCAACAAAACATTAAAAAAATGTTATTTCCCCGTTTAAAATCCTTACAGGCCGCCGGATGGTGGTGGCGCATGCCTTTAATCCCAGCACTCGGGAGGCGGAGGCAGGCGGATCTCTGTGAGTTCAAGGCCAGGCTGGACCGACAGCCTCCAAAACAATACAGAGAAACCCTGTCTCGTAAAAAAAAAAAAAAACAACTTTACAGGCCTTTGGAAACGCTCCAGTCTAGCATTGCAAGCCCTTAAGAATTTGACTTCTGGACTGGAGAGATGACTCAAGGGTTAATAGCACTGACTGTTCTTACAGAGATCCTGAGTTCAATTCCCAGCAACCATATGGTGGCTTACAGTCATCTATAATAGGATCTGATGCCCTCTTCTGGCCTGCAGGTGTACAGGTAGAGCACTCATACATAAAATATAAATAAAGAGAAGAATTTGGCTTCTAGGTGGGCAGTGGTGGCGCACATCCTAAATCCTAGCACTCAGGACGCAGAGGCAGGTGAATCTCTGTGAGTTCAAGGTCAGCCTAGTCTACATAGCAAGTTCTAGGACAACCAAGGCTACAGAGAGAAACCCTGTCTCGACAAATGATAACAAACAAAAGAAAAAGAACTTGGCTTCAACCCACCCTTGAAGCCAGGCTGGTTTAAGCTGGCTGCAGTATTCCAAGTTCAAGCACTGGAGCCACCAGCTTCAAAGCCTGCTCATTTTACCGCTTTCCATTTGCCTACACGTACTAAAACTTCAGAACTATCCTCAGTTATGCCTAATGCAGCTAGACTCTTGGAGGCATCGCTGCCTTTTACCATGCTTCCTGCTTTCTCTCCCATCCCTTTTCTCTTTTTTTTATACAAGGTCTCTCTATGTAGCCCTATCTGTCCTGGAACTCTCTGTTTGCAATCTTGTGTATCTTTTAGGGCCTCTCAGATATTTTCTCTTTGGGAAATACTTTGGGGATGCCAGAGACTATTTCTACATCACATCCTTCTTCTTTGGTGCAGGAATGAACCAGGTCCTTGCACTTGCTAGGCAAGCGCTTCATCACTGAGACATACTCTCACTCGGGTGTGAACTTGGATGCCCTCCCCATCTCTCTCCCACAAAAAAATATTCTTTATTTCAAATTGTATGTGTCTGTGTCCATGGAGGCTGGAAGAAAGTGTCAGATTCCCTGGAGTTAAGGTGGCAGTGAGCCTCCCCTGGAGGAGTGAGTGCTGTCTTCTTAGCTCAGGTCCTTTCCAGGAGCAGCTGAGCTACCTCTCCAGCCTCCACACTCGGCTCCCCACTCCCTTTTTTGTTCTCTTGCCACAATTTGACCTTTTTGGTCAAGAACAGGATTCTGGTCAAATTTATTTCTGTACAGGCCTTTCACACAACAAAAGTTTATTAAACAAACAAATCCTTTGTGTGGGCCATCCAGCAGGCAGAAAAACGCTCCCTGGAAGGGAGAGAGGGAGGGAGGGTTGGTTGATAAGGAGCCAGGGCCTTTGGACTCTGGATTCAAAGTAGCTGGGAGTCATATTTGAGAGGTCTGGCAAAGGGAAGAAGAGTTTGGAAAATTCAGGTTCTGTTGCGTGGTGGGCAGGAGTCAAAGGCAGACACCTGAATGTCGATCGGTTCTTAAGAAGTGCTCGAAGAGATCTGGGACGTGGAGTCCCGCAACGCCTTCAAGTTCGGCTGTGATGACCATAGAAGGAAAGGTCACAGAAAGTCCCTTCTGTTAGAGAGTCGTGACATCCAGGTCCGGAGTGGGAAAGACAAGAGGCGCTTCAGGCTTGGGCTCCGCCCCTTCCCGAGAGACTTCCCGGATTGGCTGCCCTTCTTCAACATCAAGAGGCCCCGCCCCGGCGCGCGCCCTGCCTCGTGCCCACCCCGGGGTGGCTGCTGCTTCCTACGCTGACTCCTCCACAGCTTGCCATCCTCAGAGCCAGAGCCCGGGTCGGAGCCTGAGCGGCAACCGGCCCGAGGAAGGGCTCCCGAGCCTCGGCGGCGGGCGGGCGATGCTGCAGCTGCCTGATCAGCCATGGAGGCCGAAGCAGGCGGCCTGGAGGAGCTGACGGACGAGGAGATGGCGGCGCTGGGTAAGGAGGAGCTGGTGCGGCGCCTGCGGCGGGAGGAGGCGGCGCGCCTGGCAGCGCTGGTGCAGCGCGGCCGCCTGATGCAGGAGGTGAATCGGCAGCTGCAGGGTCACCTGGGAGAGATCCGTGAGCTCAAACAGCTTAACCGGCGCCTGCAGGCGGAGAACCGGGAGCTGCGCGACCTCTGCTGCTTCCTGGACTCGGAGCGTCAGCGGGGACGGCGTGCAGCGCGCCAGTGGCAGCTCTTCGGGACCCAAGCATCCCGGGCGGTGCGCGAGGACCTGGGTGGCTGTTGGCAGAAGCTAGCCGAGCTGGAAGGCCGCCAGGAGGAGCTGCTGCGGGAAAACCTGGCGCTTAAGGAGCTTTGCCTGGCACTGGGCGAAGAGTGGGGCCCCCGCGGTGGCTCTGGCGGCGCAGTGGGCTCAGGCGCCGGGCCCACACCCGAGCTCGCCCTGCCCCCGTGCGGGCCCCGCGACTTAGGCGATGGAAGTTCCAGCACTGGCAGTGTGGGCAGCCCAGATCAGTTGCCCCTAGCCTGCTCCCCCGATGACTGAGGGCGCCGCATTTCCCACGCCAACGCCTGCCTGAATTGCTCCCTGAGAGCGGAGACTGCTGTGGACCTGCCGACCTGGTAGCTGCTTCTGCTGAGCACCAGGGCCCTGGCACGGACTGAAAAAGCCCTGACGCTGAGGAGGGCCCCTTGCTCTTGCTGGCAGGGCAGTAGGGGAATGGAGGCTGAAGTGGAGGGACTTGCTGGGTGGTTGGGTGGGGACTAATAAACTGGGAAGGAAGCAGAGCCCGAAGCCTGGCCAGCCTGTGTCTGGAACGCCGTGGTTGGGAAGAGGGCGGAAACCCAAAGACGTGGTGCAGTTCCCATCCGGAGGGACTGCAGAACTAAGGGCTGACTCCTCATTACCCGGAGTTTGGGTGGGATTAAAGACAGTGGTAGACCACTGACTCCCCCGATGGGCGCTAAGACGGGCCGAAACCCGGCCCCTGAAGTGGCTCCAGCTCGCTTCCAGGCTCCTTCCTGTCCGAAACAATGGGGCAGGAAGCAGGTGTTGGGGGCCTAAAGTCCACTTGCTGCCTGTTCGGAAGGTGGAAGGGTATATATAACACGGTCCTTCCCTGCCCCCAGTCTTTAAGACAGGAGCAGCGTGGGTCCCCATGGGGAAAAACTGGTAATCTTGCACCCCAGAGCATTCTCAGTTCTCGAAGTACAGGAGATGAGGCAGAACAGAGGTAGCCCCATTCTTCAGATGAGAATATCGAAGTCCAAAAATATATGGTAGTTTTCTTCAAGGTCACAGCTGAGACTGGACCCTAGAGCTCCTGTTCCAAACAGTTTCCTTTAGCTTCCGGATCCAACAGGGCAACTCAGACTAGAGCTTCAAGCCTTTATTCCGTTTTGGAAGGTCTGTATAAAAATAGTCTCTTTAGGAAAATAAATAGCAGCTGCCCTTGGTGTGGAGGCTTGGATACCCTGGAAGCAGAGGCTTCTCAAAGCTAGGAGTGCAGCTCAGCTCATCACAGAAGCCACCAGTGCCTCCTGAGCTGTACCGTTCAGGAGGAGCCTGCAGGATGCCCTGTTGCTGCTGGCAGTGGAGCTGTGTGAGTTAGTGTTCTAGACTAGTAAAAGGACACCTGTCCGGGTGTAGGGCCGGCTGGATCGCATCAAGGAGTGACTGAGAGTGGTCTGCAAGGAAGAGAGGGATCCAAAGGATCATTGGGGAATCTACAAAGACTGGGCTGCCAGGATTTCTCTGGCCTAAAGGGGACATATTTTGTCTCTGATTTTGTGCAAATTATGATAGGCCAGCTCTAGAGAAACAATGAACAGCTTTGGGGACCCCCAAGCTGGCTCTACATCAAAGCATAATATGTTTGTTCTGAGTGATAAAGGATCTGCTGGTTTGGGGCATGGATTTGGTCCAGGCCTGCTGGATCAATGGGAGAAAGGAGGCTAGGAGTAGCACCAGCAAGGGGTGTGTCTGGGAGTCTCACAAAGCCAGGAGTGTGGGAGAACCCAGGGGGTCGGAGGATGGGTCGCCGCTGCTGCTGCTACTCTTTCGATGTGCTGAGGAACAAGGCTCTGGTGTGCTAGGGTAGGTGAAAACCAGACTGGGAGTAAAGGGAGTCAGAGATGGTGTGGTCATGAGCGTGGGGGTGTGCAGGGCTTCAGGTTCAAGTACAGGCCCTGGAGAAAGGGAGATACAAGGTACTGGGCGGCAGGGGGCTGCTGGACTGCTGCCACCTGCGCTGCTGGTGCCACCTGTGTCCTTATCTCCTTCTGGGATTTTGCAGATGGGGCGATGGGCTTCCAACACCAGCTCAAGGCGCTCCTTCTGTTTCTGCAGCTCTTCAATCTCTCGCTGCAGGCTCGATTTCTCATCCTCCAATTTGTCGGTCTCCTTTAGAGGATTAGGAGAAATTTAAGAGGGCTAAAGATCTCCAAGCCTCAAGCTGGAGTGTGGGGTTTGTGCCTGGAGTCCCCAGCAAGTCTGGACTGCAATTCTCATGAGACCCTGGGAGAAAATGGTCATGACTCCCATCAGGGTGTCTTAGACTTGCCTATCAACATCTCTGCTTTAAGACCCAAGACAATTTTTTTATTTTGATTTTGGAGACAGGTTTCTCTGTGTAACTGCCCAGGCTAGCCAGGAACTCTCTCTGTAGACCAGGCTGGTCTCGAAGCACAGAGATCCGCCTGCCTCTGCCTCCTGAGTACTGGGATCAAAGGTGTGCGCCACCACCACCCCTGTGGCAAATAATTTTTAATCCATGTTTCCTTATCCTTTTCCCAGGACTTCCCCCCAGGCAGGGAGGAGGGTGGGATGTAGAGGAGTAATTTATTGGGTTTCTTGTGCTCCTGAGAACCAAGGTCCCTCTTGGGCTTGGTGGGCCCAGGGCTTGGGAACTCCCTGTACCAGCTGATGCTCACCGCCTGCAGGAAGTCTGTCAGTTCCTTTCTCCGGTTTCTGCACTTAGCGGCTGCTAACTTGTTCCTTTCCCGCCTCACTCTGCGGCGCTCTTCCTCCTCGGGGCTGATCTGGGTTGAAAGAGAAGAAGCCCTGAGCTTGCCATCCAACCGGGGGCCTTTGCTTCAGCCTGCAGTTTAGGTACCACTGTTACACACTGCTTCTCTGTACCAGGCGCTCCTCACCTGATGGGTAAAATTTCCAGCTCAAACCTTCCTTTACTGCTTGCTGGTTTCTTTCCTGTAATGCTTTCCCACTCCATAAACTTTGACCTTCCTTCCCCTATCCTTCCTCAGCTTAGGACTCAACTAAGATGTTGAAAGCCTTATTTCCCAGGCATAAGTAGCCTTCCCTCCTGAGTCTACGAGACACGATTATCTTTTTATAGGACCTTCAGCCTTCTCATCTGTGGAAGATGGAATTTCTTCCTTCTCCAAGGAGCTATGAATCATAGGAGGTACTCATGAGTGTCAAAAGCTATTGGAAATCTACTGTGCCAGCAAAGTACTTCATAGGATTTTTCTTTTGCTCAGTACTAGGGATCAAACCCACTGCCTGGTACATCCTAGCTAGGCAAATGCTCTACCACTGAATTATGCCCTAGCCCTTAAATAGATTCTTTTTGCTTTTTATAGTTTTTGTATTTTAGATCAGATCTCACTGTGTAGCCCTGGCTGGCCTAGAACTTGCTCTGTAGGCCAGGCTGGCCTGGAACTCACAAAGATCCACCTGCTTCTGCCTCCCAGGTGTTGGGAGTAAAGATGTGTCCCACCACACCTGGCTTGTTTTGTTTTTTGGTTTTTTGAGACAGGGTTTCTCTGTGGCTTTTGGAGGCTGTCCTGGAACTCACTCTGTAGACCAGGCTGGTCTCGAACTCACAGAGATCTGCCTGCCTTTGCCTCCCGAGTGCTGGGATTAAAGGCGTGTGCCACCAACGCCCGGCTTGTTTTGTTTTTTAAAAAGAGACAAGGACTCATGTATCCCAGACTGGCCTTAAACTCAACATATAGCCAAGGCTGACCTCAAACTCCGCCTCCAAAATACAAGGATTACAGACTTGTATCATCACTTCTAGCTTCCCTACACAGATTTTTTTTGTTGTTGTTTTGTTTTGTTTTTTGAGACAGGGTTTCTCTGTGTAGCCATGGCTATTCTGGAACTCTCTCTATAGACTAGACTATTCTCAGAGATCCGCCTGCCTCTCCCTGTCAGTTCTTTGTATATGTTTGTGTGTGGTGGCTAGAAGTTGATATTGGATGTCTTCCTAATTCTCCACCTTTTTTTTTTTAAGGTAATGTCTCTCACTGAATCTGGAACCTAGCCATTTGGCTAGACTTGCTGGCCAGTGATCTGTGGGGATCATCTGTCTCAGCCTGCTCCCCTCCCCATGATGGAGTTACAAAAGCTACTCTTGGCCTTGTGGGTGCTAAGGATCCAAACTCTGATCCTCATGTGATAGTCACTTGACTGACTGAACCATCACCTGTCTTCCTACATAGTCTTTTTTTAGTCCCGCCCCCCCCCCCAAAACAAGACTTCTCTGTGTAAAATCCCTGGCTATCCTTGAACTCACAAAGATCTACCTGCCTCTGCCTTCTGAGTGCTGGAAATAAAGGTGTGTGCCACCATGCACAGCTAAAGTCTTCAAACATCACATGTATGTATGTATGTATGTATGTATGTATGTGAACACAAGTGTGCCATAGCACTGGGGAGGTCAGAGGACAACTTAGGAGGTCAGTCGACCCCTTCACTATGTGGATTTCAGGGACTGAACTCAGATTAGGCTTGGTAGCCATAGCGTCAATACTCCCTACATAGATTTTTTTTTCTAATATTAAAAAAATTAAACCGGGCAGTGGTATTTTACACTTTTAACCCCAGCACTCAGGAGACAGAAGCAGGTGGATCTCTGAGTTCAGGCCAGTCTGGTCTACAGAGCAAGTGCCAGGACAGGCACCAAAGTTACACAGAGAAACCTATTTTGATAAACAAACAACAACGACGACAAAAAAATATTAAGAAATTAGTTTAAGGCCAGCGTGGTCTACAAATGGAGTTCCAGGACAGCCAGGACTGTTACACAGAGAAATCCTGTCTCAAAAACCAAAGACAAAATTACAAAACTTTATGTGTATGAGTGTTTTGCCTGTGTGTATGTATGAGCACCATGAGCATGCAGTGCTGGTGGAGACCAGAAGAGGGCGTCAGAAACTTTGGAGGGAATTATGAACAGTGAGTTTCCATATGGGTGCTGGGAATGGAACCTTGATCCTCTACAGAGAGAAGCCAGTGCTAACCGCTGAGTCATCTTTCTAGACCTCAACATACTCTCATGTAAGACCTGAAGATTAGGGAAGAGAATAGTTAGTCCAGAGCAGGATTTAATAGTCACTCGATTGACACTTAGTGAAAGACCACCTGATGGAACCATCTGCCCCAGGAGGAGCCTACCCACAGTTCACAGTTCCAACCCAGCAGCACCCATGATCTAAAGGTTACATTCAGGGCAGGGCTACAGGAAGTGCAGAGGGGTCTACCCTTGGCTCATATCCCAGCTGATCACAGAGGCAGCTAGTCTATTGCTGGAAAGCCTGCTGTTGGCTATTCTCTGGTCAGTCTCACATATCTCCCAAGGTGTTGCCCTCCCTCTTCATCCTCTACCCAGCCACGATGGCAAAGATCTGTGTCTGTGTTCACCTGGGAACATGTGTATACACTGGGGATTGAGTCCAGGGCATGCTCTTTGCCACAAGTTACCGACCCCTGTCAGGTTCAGGTTTGTTTATTTGTTTATTTATTTTGGTATTTTGAGACA